GATAAGTGATTCTCAGAGCATTCACTTGAGTATTTTTTTCCCTCGACTGTAATTGCCAAGAAATGAATAATTCTAAGCAAGAGGCCCGCATACCGCTCTCCCAGAGGAACAACAGGAGAAGTTATGAGCTGCCTGTACCTTGAAACGATTCAATTCACGAAGGAGAGAAGTGGGCAAAGAAAGTGCTCACTTTACCTGAGAGCCATCAGTTTCTACTCCAACATGCAAAACTCTCCAAGCAACACTTTTGAATTCATTTCAAGGCACTACATTGGCTACTTTGATTTCCCTACCATCTTTTTACGTGTTGAGATCTCATCCTAAGTCCTGAAACACCACCGGGCATGAATTGAAGCTCGACAAACATCAACTACCTCTCTGAGACGACGCCATTTTGGCTGGAGGCGGTGTAGAGTTTCCGCTTGTCTGCCGGCATCACGTCGATGTAACCGCCCGCGTCGTTCCTGATGACCCCAGCGTGGACCGCCGCGCGGCAAATACTGGATTTCTACAGGAACGGGCGACACGCACGATTTGGTTCGATGAAGCTCCAGTGTGCATCCTTCCGTGAGCAAAATACTTACATCAGAGTATATTCTGGTGCCGATGACTCTGGAGATGTGCGAGTTCTCTTCTAAACAGTTCCTTGGGCAGTATAACCTATCAAGGGAACGTATAAAACCTTGTGAGATGCGTATTATTCACAAGGAGGGGCTGCTACGGCGGCGAATACCTCGGGCAATGCTTTGGAGGCCATTGGTAAGGACACAGTTGTTCAACTGTGGTCTCGCAGGTGATTGATTTCACTGCAACACGACACAACAGAAATGGAGCGATAAGATAAATTAAAGCTTAACCAGTGACGTGTAAACTCGGAGCGGACCTGCTACTCTGGATACTGTGAATGAATTGGCACTCTGATATTTCCTGCCCAGAGAGACAAAGAGAATGTTACATTTTGACTTTATAGTTGAAAGTGTTGTTCTAGTTTTTGTCTTTTTCAACACTTTGAGCTG